GTCGCTAAAAGGGATGCTTTTTTTCCCGTGTTAAGTTGTGATGGAAAAAAGTTTGTCGCTAATGTTTCATTGCTAATCTGTCGCTAAAGAGTTGCAAATATCAACTTTTTCTATCAATTGCTAACTAGTCATTAATTTGTCGCTAATTAAAGATGGAATGAATATCATCGCTAATTGGTAAATTCCTTGTAATAAACCTAACGTGAGATTTAAATCATATATTATAATTATTAACTATTAGACCAACAAACTTGGTTAATCTTCTTTGTGGATTGAATTTTTACAAAAATTTTGACTCCGTCTTTATCTTTAATAGTGTTTCAATAACGGTAAATGAGAATTTATTTTTTATTCACGTGTTATGTTATTAGCGAAAGAATAATATTTAGAAAAGATAACGTATGATGTTCTAAAAATAAAAGAAATAAGACAAATAAATTTGAGTGGATTGGTATGGTATCAAAGTTAAGGATTTTGTGATATGGTTGTCAAAACTCATGATACTTATTAAATCTAAAGTTTGAGTTTTATCGGTTTTTTAAAAGCATAATCTCATTTTATTTATTCCAAAACAAAGAGACTATCGAAAAAATATTATTAATAGCACAATACTTATATGTTGATGAATTCTGAGCTAATTATTATAGTTCTTGTTGAAACCAATTAATTATTATCCAAAATACTATTAAAAATAATTCATCGAATAGAATTGATCATTCTTAATTTTTTTTCTCTAAAAATTTCTTTTTTCTTCTTCAAACTTTCTCATCTTATCCATTTTTCTTTTTCTTTTCAAATTAAAGAAAAAAAAATTGAAAAGAACAAATAATGGGACTTGATTGGAAATTTGTGAAGATTCAAATATTTAATAGGAAATTTCAATTTAGAGTGTAATTATATAATGTTTGAATGTTTAGAGACTAGTATGAAATTTAGCGAAAAAAATTGTTTGTGAGGCACTTAGGTTATGTCATGTAAATGGGTAACGCTTGGACAGCTAGTTTGTGACCTGTGATGTTAAAGAAAGAAACGAAATAGGGCAAAGGGAGAAAGTGAATTTGGGTGGGTTTTTGGGGTGTAGAAGCGGAAGCTATGGATATAGTGATGTGGTTGGTTTTAGGACTCATGGTACTTATTGGACCTAAAGTTTCAGTTTTGTGGGCTTTTTCAAAGCCTAATTTAATTTCTCATTTTATTTCTCATCCAGGCAAGAGAACCATTTTGCTAAAAAAAAAAAAAAAATCATCAATAGATAGATTGATGAATTGAGTTAATTACATCTTATTCTCTATAATTTATTAAAACTAATTAACCATTCCCTGTAGCATGAAACAAATTTAAAATTGGTCCTTTGATCATCCTTGATCTAGTAGTTTTTTTTTTATAAAAAAAAAATGCTTTTTTCTCTTCAAATTTCCCCATTTTATCTATTTCTCCTTTTCCTTTCATAATAATAATAATAATAACAATAATAACATAATAATGGGATCTAATGATTTGCAATGTAGTTTTTTTGTCCCTACTTCCCAGAATTCCAAGTAGCCATTTGTTGTTACTGTTTAAAGTTATACAATTTTTTTTTTTTTTTTAAACCCATTATAGAACAGCTAAGGCATTTTTCTTTTATTTATTAGAGATTCGACCAACCTTTTATTTATATATACTCGGTTAATGTAAACATGAGTATGTAACCTTTATACCTGTGATATTAATACCATCTTTCCCATCCCTCTCGTTTTGCATATCTCTATATCACCGAGCTACGTTTTTCTCCTGGTCACAAATGAGAGGCTAAAACCCAAAATTTCTTAGTTTTGATCTAGCCGCTTTTGATGGGTTAATACTTTAACCGCAAACAAACTCCGTAACCTTTATACCTGATTCGGCCCTTCTGCCAACAAATAAGTTGTCGTTTGTTTGTTTTGTAAAATGTTTTGGTTGAAAACTTAATTTTCACACTCCCAGAAAAACAATAACACTACTTGACCCGAAACTAATAATTAGTAAAATAGAGCTATGTTTTTTTGACACAACTCTTTCATTTACCGTTATATATATTGTCAACTGGAACTGGCTCTGATAATTCATCGAAACTTATGTTTTGCTATGTTGTTTTGTTCTTTTTGTTGTAAGTAATATTTTTTACAAATAGTTATGTTGATGTTGCATATCGTTTACAACTCAATAAACATATTGTTTTTTTTTCTTTTCTTTTTTTAGAATTTTTATTGGGTTTTTAGATCCGTTGTCTAGGTTTTCATTATTTTTTGTTCTCTTAGAATATGGGGTTAAACAGAGTTGAATTTTCCCAAAATAATTTTTAATGCTTTTTGGTGCCCAAAAAAAAAAAAAAAAAGGGTGGAGAGGAATCGTTATTAAGGAGGCTAAAAATTAACCTCAAATAGTGCAAATGGATAGATTTGTCTTTGACGAGGGAGCAGTGAAAGATTTTTTATGGAGGAATTCTTTTGTCTTCGATGCTTTTCTTTCTCTTCCTTAAATTTACATTTCATCTTTTTTTTTTTTCTTTTTCTTTTTTACTTTGGAGTTTATACCTTTGTTAGTGGACCCTTTAATTCATTGTGTTATTGTTTTTTTTTTTTTTAATTTAGATATAATTGACTTTCTTAGTACGCTTAAATTTTACCTTTTACCAAACATTCTTTAAAAGTAATTTTTGTGTCTTAAACATTATCCATTCAATCACTAACTTCCCCTCGTTTTAATTCTATTACAAGCCCTGGACGTAATAGTGTGAAATTTGATCTCAAAGTAATTTTATTTGCTACATTAAAAATATGTATACATCTAATACACACAAAAAATTGAGAATTGAGAATTATGTCTACAAGTCATGAATATAAGAAGATAAAAAGAAAAACTTCAATTTAATCTCAAGTCTATATATTTATTTTCAATTGAATTTTAAACTTATAAATTTTATCAATTATGTTCAAAAAGTTTTAAAAATTCTCAATTAAATATTTTTGTTAAATATTCATCAATATTTTATGTCAAATTTTTATAAAAGTATTAGTAAATAAACAAAACTTTTTTTTTTTATCAAATTTTCTTTAAATCAACATTATTTTAATGCATAAAATATGCATATTGGATATAAACTAATAAAACAAATTGATAAAAGGATATAGTTGAAAAATATAAAAAAGCATTTGAAACTTAATTGATAAAATTTACATATTTGAAATGCAATTGAGAGTGAACATATAGATTTTAAACTAAATTGAGATTTTTTTCAAGATTAAAAAAAAGGCTCTCTATGGAACATGGACAGGTACAATGGAGACCACTAGAAGTCACGTGGGATAAAACTAATGTTTCGATGACTTTCGTTACATTTGATGGCATTTTCATTGCATCGCTCACCCAGGATGTCAGGGCGAAGTACCGCCATATTCTTTGCGCTGACTTTTTGTTCACCACCAAAACCATCAACTTTCTTCCAACATAAATATTTTATCCACTTTTAATTTTTCATAGTTATTCGCAAATTCAATCTTTTTGCCTGCCATTAGTCACTCAAGTTGTAAAACATTGAACGGAATTATACTACTATGATTTTAATTAAGAAAAACAAACAACCATGGGCCATTTTACATTAAAAAATTATTAAAGTTATGTACTCATATAAATGATCATCATTAACCACAAAATGCTAATATGGTAATAAGTAAGCTTTGATTTATATATTAGGTTTAAGATTCGATCATTATTATCAATATTCTTAAAAATTTATTCTCAAAATATCTAAAATCATGCATTAGATAGTATTCTTTAACCACGTCCAAAAAAATATTAGTTTTAAGATGCACGAAAGCTAATTTGGATACATTCTTATTATTGAACCTAAAAAAGCAAAATGATCATCATATATAATTAATCATTTTCATGTTGACTAATAGTACAAAAGGTTGATAAAAAAAAAAAAGAAAAAAAAGCTCATGTTTATTACCAACTCTTAACTTACTACTCCTCGTTATTTTGATCCAATTATGTATATTTAATCGATTAAAATGTTGTTTGATTACTAGAAATGAAAAGTCTAAAATAAAAATATAGTAATTGAAATAAAAATTAAAAAATTGAAATAACATTTGCATTCTCATACTATGTTTGAAATAGTAAGAAAGAATAGAAATGACATTTAAATTTTTTGATATATAATTTTTAATACAAATAAAAATAATAATTAAAAAAATAATTTCATTAATTATGATGATAATAAAAATGATAAAAATAATTATAATGCTAGTGGTAGTGATTAAGTAAGAGGAAGATAACGAGGAAGTGGTAGTAAGAAAGTATCATCAATGATATATTTTTTAAAAAAATTGATACAATTAATACAAGACATGGTAGTAGAAAAAGAACGATGATGATAGTGGTATAATAAAAATGATAGTAGAAGATAGATGAGAAATAATGACATAATAATAATAATAATTTTTTTTAAAGAAGATATTTTAGCACCAAGCTAATGAAAATGATAATAATAAATGGTAGTAGAAATAGTTGAAACATAATAAATAAAAATAATATTTTATTATTTTAAAAAAATTTATTTTTATTTTTTATTTTTATTCTTGTCTTTTATATAATTATATTTAATTTTTATTTATATTCTCGCTCTTTATTTTTATTTTTATTTTTTAACCAAATAGTTACGAAAGAAGAATAAAATTTTGATTCTCACAACTTCATTTTTTATAACAAGACAACTCGTTGACTAATTCTGCTGGCCGTCAACCATACTTTTTATCTAAATCTAAATATACAGTACCAGTAAATATTTTGCATCAACATACATTTAGATTAAAAATAAAAGAAAAATGAAAATTCAATTGTTCTATAAATAGATCAATGATAGTTATCTAAATGTTGTAGTAGTCACCAAGTCTAATGCAAATTATTCAGATGAAATAAACAAATTCCACATATCATACAGCCCATTGGTGAACTTCCTCAAGAGGACCATAGCGATGGCTGTGAAAACTAGCAAAGATCAAGACCCATCACCTGCTTTTTTGGAAACAGTAGAAGAAATCACGAGACTCTTCAAATCACTGCCATCAAGACCCTCCATTGAAGAAGTTGAAGCAGCCATTTCTGTGATCAAGACTGCCAACAACGAAGAGCAGGCGGGTCTTGATGATATTTCAGAGCAAGAATGTCCTCAAGATGTCCCACAGGAGCTCTTCTCTGTGTTACAACAAGCGAGAAAGACCGTGGTGTTGTTTAAAAGCCACGAACAGAGAAAAGAGGCTCTTTACTTGGTTGAAGCTGAAAAGATGTTTGAGACCTTCGATGGGTTGATAGAAAGAGCTTCTATGCTGGTTTCTGGGGATACCCAGAAGGAGAAACTGATTTCTATTAGTGAGCCAGTTGAGAAAATTGAGAAACAAAGTGTGGTTAGTGATGAGAGTTTGATCAAGAAAAGAGAAGATGGAGAATTGGAGAAAGATGGCTTCAACGGTTTAGTGAAGAGCTCTTCCACAAAGGCTGCTTTCTTTTCAGGTAAAGACATGGACTTTCTTTAATGTTTATTTAGTGTTTGGCTTTTTGGAGTTTGTATATGCATATACTTGAAGATTGTAGAATCTTGGTATTCAAAGACAAATGTATTATTCGCTTCAATTCCTGACATACTTACATGTTCAAAATATTTAAATGGGAAAACAAAAGTAAAGTTATCTTAATTTCAGTTATATGTCTGTGAGTCCGAGAATTTCTTGGTTGTTCTCGACTCATATCTGTGATTTCAGAAATGAAGTTTTGTTGCCAATTTGATGTGATTAAAGAAAAGCATACTGAGCTGAAATAGGTAAAGAAGAAGGTAGATATTTTTTTTTTTTTTAATTTTTAGATTTAGGGGCCATTTTCTAATAGTTTACATCCTATCAATATTATGTTTTGGATTGCCTTTCTCTTCAAATCTGTTATGTTGAGTACTTCTGTTGAAATCTGGTTGAATAGTTCTCTTTATTGCTCCATGGACAGCCAAAAGAGATGCCTGGAATGCTTGAAGTTTCTCGAATATTGGTTGTAGAATTAGGTTGAGTGTGAGGCTAAAAGAAGGACGAAAAAGCAAAAGAAACAAAATTCTAATTTGGAATGAATTTCTTATTCAACGTTGTTTTTTAATGTGCCGATGTATTTTGGTGCTTTACAGGTGAAGTGGACACTGAGAAACTAACTCTAATGAAGGTGGCAGCCGTCATAGAAAATTCTGCCAAAACTGGAGCTGTGGTTCTTGATCTTAGAGGCAAGTTGATGGATAAAATCGAGTGGCTCCCTCTGTCAATTGGGAAATTATCGATCATCACTGAACTGGATTTATCTGAAAACCGAATTATGGCACTTCCATCCACCATTGGTAGCCTCAAAGCCTTAACAAAGTTGGATGTCCACTCGAACCAACTGATCAACCTTCCTGAGTCATTTGGGGAGCTAATCAATCTGACCGATCTCGACCTCCATGCAAACAGGTTAAGATCATTGCCAGCTTCTTTTGGGAAGTTGAAAAACCTTGAAAATCTTGATTTGAGTTCAAATCAGTTCACTCAGTTGCCAGAGACTATTGGGAGTTTGACCAGCTTGAAGATATTGAACGTGGAAACAAATGAACTTGAGGAGGTTCCGTACACAATTGGAAGTTGCACGTCATTAGCGGAGCTGAGATTAGATTTCAATCAGCTCAGAGCTCTTCCAGAGGCAATTGGAAAACTTGATTGTTTGGAGATTCTTACTTTGCACTATAACAGAATTAGAGGGTTACCTACAACAATGGGCCATCTTTCCAATTTGAGGGAACTTGATGTAAGCTTCAATGAAATAGAATTCATACCTGAAAACCTTTGTTTTGCTGAAAATCTCAAGAAATTGAACGTGGCTAACAACTTTGCGGATCTAAGAGCTTTGCCTCGAAATATTGGAAACCTTGAATTGCTTGAGGAGTTGGATATAAGTGATGATCAGATAAGAGTCTTGCCAGATTCTTTTAGGCTCTTGTCAAAATTGAGAGTTTTTCGTGCTGATGAAACTCCACTGGAAGTTCCACCAAGACAAGTAACTGTTTTGGGCGCTCAGGTAATGTTTGGTGAACAACTTTTTGGCTTACCAGTCAATAAACTTTTACCCGTTTCTCAGTTGAGACTAACTTATTCAACTTTCATTCATCAGGCTGTTGTTCAGTTCATTGCTGACCTTGTTAACAAGAGAGACACAAACCCTCAATTGTCCAAGAAGAAGAAGAGGTTTTGGCACAGGGTCTGCTTAATCTGTTGGCCTTTCCGGAGACTCTAAACCATGTAGTTGGCGAATTAAAATACCTTAAGTTATATGTTTAGCCTTGATGTACATAATCTGAAATGTCTTCCTTTTCCTATAAGTTTTTTATATTGTAATAGTTAACGCATAAATCATTCCTTAAGACTACACAGACTTTGGTTGGTTCAAGTGTGATGAGAAAAAAATAAATAAATAAAAGCATTCCTATGTTGTAGACCATAATTTATCCTATTTTGCGTTCGTGTCGTTCAAAATAAACTACTCAAATAGAACGGCTTCTGTATATGAAACAAAAGTCATTGAGTTAGAGCACTCATACTCCTAATCTGTATCCCAACCTTAACGCGTACCCTATGTAATAATGATTTTTATCAATAATTAAGCCACTTCCCTTGGTCTCAGCATCTACCGAGTCACCCAATCCCAATCCCAAGTTCGCCCCCAAGTACCAATATTTTAGTAACAACTCCATCTTGAAAATATAAAGTTATCCGCAATGTGGCTTCCTAGGTCTGTTCATTATATATATCTATATATATGACCATACAGATATGGAAGTTGCTCTCAAATAATTCTTAATATAATTGACATTAGCATTAAATACTTAATAATTACAATTTGGAAGTAACTATACTTATATAGGGATATACGTACCCAGTCCAATGTACCATTGAAAAAAGAACTCTGTTCCAATTTCTAATAAATCAGGTGGCTTGAATCTGTTGTCCGCATTCTGTTTTGTAGATATAAACAAGAGGGGACCAATTCAATGTGTTGCAGGCATCCATTTTCTCTCCCTTTTATTTTTATTCTTACATAGATATTTCAGATCAGAATCTTCCAAATGCCAAACTTTCCAATCCATAGATTTCATATTAAGAAACAAATCATCTAATTTAAACCACTCATTTCTCTGTCCCTCAGACTCTGGTATTGTAATAAAATTAAGCAGAAACATCAAATTAGTCCCCATTATTATATTATCCAACGTCTCTAAATAGCATGTCACAAAAAGTGGACAATTTTTTTCTTACGACAAATACACAATAATCAAACATATGCACACACATATAAATGTGGAGCACAAACGATTTACTGTAAATGCACCAAAACATATATAATACAATTATAGCATTCAATAATCTTATATCTAAATGATGCGGGACGGTTGCATCCCAACTTCCAAAGTCTTTATTTTTTTTTTTTTAACAAATAGCACATTTCAGGTCATATGTCAATAATTAATAATAATTTAGATGGAATTTGATGAATCGATCATATTTTTTAAAAAATATATTCTTAAATAGAAGACTGACTAAATATACAATTTATCCAATAAAATACTATTCTGTAGTTTGAAATGGCAATTGATTGATGTGATGATTTTGTAATTGTAATTCATCAAAGCAATTAAAATAAATAATGCAATTACTTTAATTGATTCTATGTGATGGCTCTCCTTATAGGACAATTTTTTTTCTTTTGTAAAATTTAAATGAATAATGCTGATATGTTTTCAATAAAATATCATTTATTAAACTAGTGGATTTTGAGAAATGATTAGGTAGACTTACTCTACCACATTACTTATAAATTAAACCAATAAAAACAAGGCACATAAATACAATCACGTGCGATACATACATCATCAGGCGAAGACTACCATTTTTTTTATCTATATGTCTTCTTTTTATTGACTTGTTAATATACGAATGATGTGATTTAGTCACCTAATACTTTCTTAAAAGATTTTACTATAGACTTTCAAACATTTTTTGGATAAGATTGTTGGAGAAACAATTTTGAAAAAAAATCTTTGATGTAGCATTAAAAGTTAAAACAATGTTACTATTTCTTAAAAAACTAGCTCTATCGTTATAAAAGAACTACCAAAATATGTTCACTTTATTAAATACAACGTGAAAGAAAAACAAAATATGAATAATATGAAACTGAGATCATGAATCTTGATTAATGATGTGTGACTTTGTGGTTTTTCTTTGGTCATTGTAACGGTAAATTTTTGACAGTGGATGAAGATCAAGATAGCTAGAATATTTGTAAAACAAGATTTTTTTTTAGGGATTAGGGGACTTTATGACAACTAAGTTAGTATGTGGAGGAAAATTGTGGCCTAGGAAGGCAGTGATGCAATGATGTAAGTATTTAAGGAAATAATGAATAGTTATTGCTAGTAGAAACATTTAGAATCTAGAACCTTAGGTCCTTTTACTATTTATATGGTATTTTTTTTTTTTTGGTCAAATTGCTTTGGGGAAGGGATATGACGATCTATTATTTTATTGTCAATAACTTATCACATCTACTTGGAAGACAAATATTTTTAATGTTGACGGGTCACGGTTAGAAGAATATCATGACGTCATTAATAATGAGCATTACCGATAATATTTATTATCTTATATTTAGTATTTTAGATGAGATTTTAGGTTATATAGGTGGAATTAATTTTATTTTATGATTTACGAGATGATTGGAGCCAAATGAGCAAAAGTATGTTAATTTGGGCAAAATTTCAATTCCGGCGAATTGACCTTTAAGAGAAAAAAAGAAGAGAATTTCACATCCTTAAAATTTCAGAACGTAAAATAGACCTCTTAAGAATTAAAGTGGACATCTTAATCTTTCTATGTTGGGTTTAAACTCACAAATCCATCATCTTTTTTTAGATCGTTAAAGTCGGTTGTAAAGTTAGAGAAGAAATTTGGATCCCGTGACAATCTAGAATACTCGCTTAGTATTTGGATCATATCCGGAGTTATACATATTGAATTAAGATAATTCAAAGTCCTATAGAAAGAAGACATTTAGATCTACAATCTTCATAAAATCCCAAGTCCAGATTCTTATGCCTTCTTACTCGAAGTCAATTCGGAATTTTTAGCATATAACCTAGAGTCTTATTCGGTAACAAGTCCTAATCAATTTCGGAGACTAGCTTAAATAGGACTTTGTTGGCTATCATATTTATCTCTTTATATGTATAAATATCCTTCGGGGATGCATATTAGAGTTATGCTTTTCTTTTATATAATTTAGGTCTTATTGCTTCAAATAATGTCTAGCTAATTTCATTAATTCGGTTCAAGGGATTTCAATTTCAATTTGCAAAAAATTATGAGATACAAGTTTGATCTTTAAACCATACTTTATGATTTGAGTATATTTTATTTCTCTAAGCTTAATTAGTTGATCTTTAAATTTAATTAATCATGATTGTATAGGTAATTATCTAAGATGACCAAATAGTTGATTGTTTATTATGATTGATAGCTAGCGAACTCTCTTAATCCATAATTGTTAAGAAAAGTTAGTACAAGTAGCAAATTAGGTTTGATTACCGAAGAAAAATAAAAAGACGAATTAAATTATATAGGTATCTTAAAATTATTGTTCATTCTTAGCTATATTTTTAATTCTTAATGCTATTATTGATTAGACTAAGATTGCATTAATACCAAAATCATAATAAGAATTTGATTCGGATGCAAAGTTTTAAGTTAATGAATTTAGAAAAGATTCGGGTTTATTCTTATGCCTAGATAAATCTATGTTAAGTATTCAATGAAAAAATAGTAATTAGATGTCGATGATCAATTTACAAATTGAATGTTTAAATTTCCTCTTGAACTCGAAGCTTTTCTTAAATTGAAATTTTTGTTATTTTATTCTTACTTTCTTTATAATTTGGCTAAGCAAACAAAGCCCCCTTCTTTTATAGATAATAGAAACATTCTACCGATCTTTAAAGTTCGACCTAAATCCATAAACACTATAAATATTGGTGAAGACAGTAAGTAAATTAAATTTGATATATTCGACATGCATCGATCATAGTTGGCATTAGTTAGACAAAATCAATCTTAGTTGCATACTCTCATTTAATCTAGGTGCAATCTGTACTTTCTAATTTATGGGACTTGACTCGGCGATCTAAGCTTGTCGTTAGCGGTAAGGTCACTTGGTAATGGTAATGAGTTAACTTAGTAAGGTCTACTTTTCTCGCCTATGCTCCGGACGCAGTATTGTCTTCTTGAACACTCATTCGGGTGAGATCTTTTGACCTATCATAGGTTATATGATGACAAGTGCCAACCAAGTACTTCATAAAGAAAAAACATTTAAGAGCAAAATTTTTTCTTTTTATATAGAACTCCTAAAACTAGAAATCAAATATGATAAAAAATTGTTTAATTTTCCGGTAGTCAAAATGATAAAATTAACAAGCGAGTTAGTCGAGGTTGGGGGTAGAACCTAAAAATAATTGTTTCTTTATGCACGTTCACTTCAAATAATAATTTCCCTTTATCCGGGTTTATAGCAAAAAATTTTCGGTGATATGTATTATGCGTGATTAAGCTTACCTAAATGGATGAATCATTATAACCGCCTTTGACAACTTTGAAGGTAATTTAAGGTCATTCTTACATTTAATCCTTTCAAGCATTATTACTTGCTAATCCGTAGTTCTAGATAGAAGAGAGAAATGGCTCACCTCTATACTTTTTCAATCGGGAAGTATAGTTTGCTAAAAAGGGTTTTTATGGGTAAACCTAACCTTATAGAAGATTGGAGAAAAGAGTGGTTTGTGGCAAATTATAGAGGGTCCGTGCCTCTAAATAAAGCTCAAGATATATGAGGGTGAGACGTTTTTTGAAGAATGTCTTAGGATGATTATGATATGGTTCATTTCATAGTCTCATATCAACCAGGACATTTAGGAACATGTGAAGTGCATAAATGGTCCACTCTAGTTAATCCTTGCTTCTTTTTTTTTTTTATTACTTCAAAAGTAGCTACTTCAACTTTAGCCACTAAGATTTTTTATATTCCTTTTTATTTCTTTTCAAAAAAATGAAACTCACACTTACTAGTAGAAGAAGCAAGATTAAAGAGAACTCTCGAATAATTCCCATGGGTCGTCTAGAAACGAGATGTCGAATTAGCTTTCTAGAAAAATGATTGTCCTTGAATTGAAGTTTGAGAGGTAGATA